CTCGGTAGCACTTGAAGAAGCGGGTCCCGAACTCCGAGTCGAGGTATGTATCTCGGGCCTCCTGTTTGGCCTGGACAACGCGCTCGTCAAAGGATAGTCGAAGAGCCTCTAGCTCGCCCTGGAGCTTTTCCTTCTCGGCCTTCTCCTTGGCAAGGTCCTGCTTGAGGGTAGCAACCTGTGCATCCCTCTTAGCCACCTTGGCCTTCAGCTTCTCCATGTCATCGGAGTCACCTTCTATAGCCTCGTTGAGGATGGGGGCTAGACTGGCCATGGCCTGTTGAGTGAGATAGAATTGGTTGGGTATAAACTTCATACGATTTAAGTTCACAAAGCACAAAGATGAGATGTGGGGGTATACCTGACTGAGATGGAACATGGTATCACTGGCTCGGTGCTCCTTAGTTGGCCACATGACTGTCTCACGATCGGGGAAGATGGAGAGGAAGTAGGAGATTGACGCCTCTGTGTCTTTGTTGCCCGCGAATTTTCCGGTACGGTAATAGTGCGCGGCTCGTCACTTTGGGAAGTGACCTTGCGTTTTTTCGAGAAGTTCCGAATTGGTGGTTGGCGGTAGCGCTGCTTTGAAGTCGCCTGCTTTTCCGGTACGTCGGTCGTCACTAAGACCTCGTCGGCGGCCTGGGTGGTCAATGGGACCTCGTCGGTACCAATGGTGGTCTTAGGGACATCGACGCGGGCGACGGTCTCCATGAGCTCCTCTGCCAGACAAATAAAAGAGGCAAATATTAGTAATCACATTATATGTCCATAACTAGCATGAATGAGAGGGTAGGTGTATGATGCCCACTTGGGCGTCAGGGCCTACCTATATCATCAACAGGGTCCGCAGCATGGCTGGACAACTTGAAGTACCGAAGAAGCTGGTCGCTAGCTGTCAGCTTCGCCACGAGGAGGCGGCGAGCGTTCCATTGGTCGAGAAGGGTCTGGTAGGCAGTTTTTTTCTTTGGTTTCTTAAGTTGTGTGGGTGGTTCATTTAGCCAATCGGAAGGGAAGTCGAAGGTGTCGGCGGTAGGAGGACGAATGAAGAAAAATTTGTTTTTCCAACCGTGGATTTTCGACCGGGACTGCTCTAGAAATTGGGTGTGTTTGCGACGCATGAGATAAGGCACACTGTTTAGCTTACTGAGACATATGCAATAGAAGCATAACTTGGGGTCGAGTCGGCCAAGTCGGGCCCAACATACCATCGTGAAGGCAATGAGCAGGCGAATGGAGTTAGGGGGTAATTGGTTAAAAGGCATTTTATATAACCCGCTAAGTTGTAGCAAGTCGGGATGAACGGGGAATCTCAGCCCGGCGTTTACTTGGTCTAAGAAGAAAGTGAAATGGCCGGGTGGGGGGCTATCGTACGTGTCTGTGGGTGTCGGAAGTTTAAGTTCCCAACCTCGGGGTAACTCCATTTTCCTAATAAGTGTGGCTACTTGGGTGTCCGAATACGAGCATATGGGATTGGGAGGTATGATTTGAGAGGGGGTAGCATCCTCTTTTGCTTTAGTGTTGTGAGGAGCCTTTGGAGCCGGAAGGGCCAAGGCGACGGTGGGTGACCCTACGGGTAAGGACCGTGAAAGTGAGGGGGAGTTCAACCTAGTGTCATTCGCGGAGGCCGAGCTAGTGTTACTCACGGCGGTAGGGCTAGTATGACTAGTCTAAGTAGAGCTAAGGGTGGTCGAAGAAGGTGAGCTCGGGTCATTCGAAGGAGTGGTTCCTTCTAAGGGGTACGAAGGTGTGCATAGCCAAAGTAAAGGGCGACACAAAAAAATAAAAAAAATGATGAATACAATGCGAACAAATGAAAATATGTACCACATGAGAACGCATAACACTTGCGAATGTACATAACAAAATTGAGAAGCGGTAGGCGTACCCATAAAACTTGCCGATGCCGCCATGGTGTGCGTCGCGAGGTAGCTTGGGGGCACGGTCGGCGCGTGGTCGGCGAAGAAGCAAGGTCGTCGGGTCGGCGGCGAGAAATCCCGAGGTCGACGCGGCTACTAGGTCGGAGGGTAGTCGCCGGATTTCGAGAGAAGATTAGGAGATGCCTTTTTTAGAGAGAGAAATTTTATGATGAAGAGAGGAAATAAATGGGATGATTTTTGTGTTGAAGGGAGAAATTGAAGTGATGAATGATGGAGGAAGTGATGAGTATTTATAGAAGGAGAATGATGGGTCTTGGTTGATCTTGGCCCTTGATTTTGAAAACTAATCAAGGGTGGAGAGATAATCTTGTGCAAGAAGTTTGATGGTG